ATTTTAGGAGGAAATTTCAATAGGGGAACATAATACCAGAAGCCTATAATGAATGGTTCTCTCTTTTTAGTGATATTAACCATGTCCATAAATTGATCCATCCATTACAAAATGCCTTATCAGCTTTCTCCTGACAGTTTCAGACTACTGTTAATGATCATTGCCTAGATCCATATTTCATTAGGAAATGAAAAATGGTGATATTTTAAGCTAATCATCCCCTTTCTATTTATTAGTTGGGATGCTTCTATAAATAAATTTCCCTCATCATGTAATTGTTTACCTCAGTACAATCAGGGAGACAGGCTGGATTCCTTCCCTTCACTTACCGGTTTTCCAAATAAGGTCATGGTCCCCTAGCATCCCCAAATAGTGACCCATAAGTTATTTTTTTTTAATATCAGTGTGAGCTTGGGAATTTTAAACACATTTAATTTCAATCTATTGTAGATATTTTCCTTTTATTCCTATATATTCCTTTTATAAATGGTCCTATTTTGGCACCTTCAAGTTAGACCATGAGTTCTTTCCACAAGACCCCAGAACAGTTTTACTAGCTTCTTTGCATTCTGATAAGACAAGATGTTTCAGATACATCGTGTATATTTCTTGCCCTAGAACTATAATCTGCCATTTCTTTAAGTAGCCCTGATTCCTTCTACTGGAAAACTGTACTTAGAGGCCACAAAGGCTCATTGCTACTGGAGTAATACGTGTCATCTAAACCTTTTCAGGGGTCAGAATTAGAAAACAAGTTTCTCAAGAGAAAATACATCATGAGTTCATACTGATATTCTAATTCAGATTTAGGATTCTGTGTTTTTATTTAACTTTTTTAATTTTTATACTTGTATCATTTTTTATGCTCACAAAAAGCCTTTGTTCTTAAGTAACTTTAAATCTGAATACCTTTAGTGTCTATCACTTCTCTTTGGGTAATTTATTCTAAGGAAATAATCTAATATATTTATGACAATGTTTTTATAGTAGCAAAAAAAATTAGGAAATAACCTTCATATAAAACAACAGATGGAGAATATAAATAATAGTACATCTCTCTAACAGAGTATTACACAGTCAATAAAAATGATGGTAGAGATTTTTAGAATGCTATAAAAAAGAAATACATCATTAAAATGAAAGCTAATTTTTTGTTTTTAATTTTTAATTGCAATGTAATTGACATGCAATATTATATTAGTTTCACATGTACAACATAATGATTCATAAAGCTACTTTAAAAGAAAAAAAAATCAAATACTCTGGCTGAAAATACAATGGACTATTGAATAAATATGGAAAACCCCAAACAAAATATTAGCACATCAAATCCAAATCCAGACATATATGAAAAAGAATAGAGTTTATTACAGAATGCAAGCCTGGCTTAATTTTTAAATATCAATGAATACAATTCACCATATTAACAGAAAAGAGAAGAATCTCAACATTTTATAAACATTTGATAAAAACTGACATCCATGAATAATCAAGATCAATAATAAACACTCATTAAAAACTAGAAATAAAGGGAATTACCTTAATCTGAAAGAGGATATTCTTTTTATAAAAATCCTGCACTAAACATCATTCTTAATAGTGAGTGTTTCCTCTGAAAGCAGGACAGATACGAGGAAACCTACCAGCACCACCTCTATTCAATAATATATGTGAGATCCTAGTCAGCAGACAAGGGGGAACCAATAAGAGATAAAAATAAAAGAAGGTTTGGGAAAAAAGAAAACTGTCACTATCCACAGACAAAATGGCTGTTTACCAAGAAAATCACAAATAAAAGTTAGAAAATGAATAATTTTTAAATTACACCGCTTATAATACCATCAAAACACACTGAATATCTAGGACTAAATCTATTCAAAGATGTGTAAGACCTCTATCCAGCAGATAATTTTTTAACTTTCATTTTAGATTCAGGGATATAGCATATTCACAAATTGGAAGACTCAATATTATAAAGATGACAATTGTTCACCAAGTATCCCCTAGACACAATGAAATTCCAATGAAACTTGCAGGTTGATTCTAAAATAGAAAAGCAAAGGGCCAAGGAACTCTTGAAGAAGAAAACGGAAGAAGGCTCACTCGTGGTATTCAGTGGCATATCTGTAAAACTGAATAGTATATATCAATAAAAACTAGAAGGGAAAACCCCCAGCTTCACCCCACAACATGAATGACTCTCCCAAGCATAATGCTGAACAAAAAAGCCAGATAAAAAGGAAATCATACTAAGTAAATTCCACTTACAGAAAATAGAAAACCATGAAAAACTAATCTCTGGTGTCCGAGGCAGGAGAGGGCTCCCCTTTCGGAAGGGAAGAATTGGTGAGGAGGGAGCATAAGGATGGCTTTCAGGAGCTGGTAGTGTTCTACCGTTTAACCTGAGTGTTGGTTATGAGGAATGTTCAGTTTGTGATGCACACTGTACTCTATGCTTACAATGTTTTACACTTTTCTGTAGGTATGTTACAATTTAACTAAAAAGTAAAAAAAAAAAAATAAGGAAACATGGTAGACTTTAAAGAAATTGCACAAACAACATGGAAAGAACAGACACAAAAATGATTACAGAGAATGTGTTAGATGTGGAATGCAAAGAGTCAATATACTCACAACTAATGTTGTGAAAAAGTGAGCATATCAAGTAAAACTGAAAAGACTTTCTATGGCCCTAAAGGTGAAAATTTTTCCAAAATAAAGTCTTAACCTATACATCAAAAGACTTGACCTACACACCATTAAAAAAAGTAACCTATAGACATCATTAAAAAAGTCTTAACCTGCATGCACATCATTAAACTTCGAAGAAAAACTTGAAGGATTACAAAAGAATTAAATAGGTATTAACATGGAAAAGCAATGAGGAAAATAGGCAAAATCAGACTTCAGACTTCTACAAATCAAATGTCAGTAGAGAATGAGCAAAATTTAAGTAACTGTGGTTACTGAACAGAACATAAATATGTTAGTTCCAATAATAATGCAACTAACACAAACCAGTGGAAAGGAAAGTAGGAGGAGGTGTCAGTGTGCTGACAAACCAAGGACAGAGCCGGCCTGAAGCTCAAGGCCAGCTAGGAGAACAGTGGCTCCAACCTCTTCCAGCTTCACTCAATGCCTTTTTCTTCTGTTAAACTCAAGTAAATTTAAGCTAAAAATATTTAGATTAAATAGCATTTAGGGCACAATGCCATTTCCCCCCTGCTTGTTTACCTTTGTATGTCTATCTTTGCATGTATAGTTACCAGTTGCTAAGTTAATGAGGATGTTTCTGGGCAGAATTTGTTTGGGGATTTTTAATGTACTTTTTTTTTTCATATTGTTTCAACTATTATTATTTTTTTTGCTTCAACTTTTTTTATTATTATTAAGGTATCATTGATATACAATCTTATGCTCAGGTTCCACATGAGCAACATTGTGGTTACTACATTCCCCCTATTATCAAGTCCCCTCCACATACCCCATTACAGTCACTGGCCATCAGCATAGTAAGGTGTATTTTTGCTTCAAATTTTAACGAAAAAGATCATTAGTCCAAAAATGTGTGTATGAATTAATCATCTGTGAAAGTCACAGGCATTTCATTTTATTTTTTCCTGCCAAGTTGTAAAAACAAATTGCTTGATGGAATCAGTAAGTATTCACAGAAATGGGCATGATTTGTCTTGTCAAGAAATGCCTAATTACTACAAAATTATCAAATAAATTATAATTTATTTAATAACAAAATTATTAAATTATTAAAATAACTCTGCTATACACTGTATCTCCCCAAAATGTATACGTCTAAACCTAACCCCCAGTGTGATGGTATTAGGAGGTGTGGCCTCTGAGAGGTGACAGGGTCATGAGGGTGGAGCCCTCATGAATGGGTAGCACCCTTACAAAAGAGACCCCAGAGAACTCCCTCACCCCTTCTGCCATGTGAGGGCAGAGCAAGAAGATAGCCAGCTGTGAACCAGGAAGGAGCCCTCACCAGACAACACATCTGCCTGGGCCTTGATCTTGAATTTCTGAGCCTTCAGAATTCTAAGAAATACATTTCTATTGTTTATAAGCTACCCAGTGATGGCACTCTATCACAGCAGCCTATACAGATTAAGATAAATTCTCATTCAAGTTCACACACACCACAAAACTGTAGATCACTACCAATCAGGAATAAATTTAAGGATAACTTATATGACAAAGACTTCTAAGAATTCTCTCCAGATTTCACAAATAATATTACACAACTGTTATTCATTTCTCAGATTTTAAAAATGAGAGCCTCTGATTTGTCTACTAAAAAATTTTAAAAAGCAGAAAGTGCTTACTAATGAGAATTTACTTGAAAACCAGTCATGACTCTCAGTGGTGCAGCTAAACAACAGTCATATTAGCCAACAGGAAAACAAAACTATTTGGATCCATAGGCCTTTAGAGTAAGACTGACAATATCTAGCTTCTGCACCTTGTCACTTTCACAACATGGAAGAAAATAAGGAAGAAGTCCCTCAAAGTCAAATAGGATATTTAGAAACATGGATAAAAGGAAAGAAATGTTTTAAAAGAAAACCAGGAAGAAATCTTAATTCTTCAGAAGCAAGAATAAGGAAGGATACCACCAAATATATATACAATTTAAGCAGGAATTTTTCTCCCCAATATTTAAAAATAGAACAAGTACAAAATGTTTCCAAATTTCCACAAAAAGACAGTTATAAAACTCAAGGCTATTCTTTGTAACTTGAACCAATATAATGTTGATACACTTGTTTTTTTATTACCAGCCTATTCCAATATGCATTCATTGGAATGTGTTAATGTTATGTTTTGCTCTGTTTTCATTAAAGGAAGTGGAGAACATTCTTAATATGTAAGAAACTGACATCCAGAGCAGGCACAGTACAGAGCAGTGAGGGGGCATCCCAAGGAATGGTAGCATTCACAGTATTATTCCCCAAACAACAAAAGGCAAAAAGGCATCTCTTTACCTGCTGGGCTGTAGCATCCTGTTGGACATAAGCTACCTGGCCTGGGTCTGTAAACAGAGTCTAGGCAAAACAAAAAACAAAAAACAACTTAACCATGAATCTTTAAACAGCTTGCATACACAGGAAGAATTATCCTACTGCTAAGCACCAATTCTTGCGATTTAACTCCCATACAGCTAGTAATAATCCTTCATTAATATAGGAGATAAAAAGAGTAATCCTACATGTAGTGAAAGCCTTTCATTCAGATGGCTCCAAAGAGACTGTAAAAGCTAACTCTCTCAAATGGCTAACATATTTGATGATTCTACTCTTAAGCAAAGCCTCTCTTGAAGTTGAGTATCACAACCAATTTAAAAGGCATGTCATGAAAATGTAAAAGACATGTCATGAACAAGGGTGGACACGTCCACACATAATATTACGTATCACAGCAGTAGGCTTGCAGTTAGATGAAAATGGATGGAGACATACAGACGTTCAAAAGACTATTATAGAAATACAACTATAATACAGGAATACAACTCAAATATAAATGCACATTCATTTTCAGAAGAAAAGGAAAAGAAAAATAAATTCTATTTAATGTTCCATAGATTCTCTTTTGAATAAAACCAGTAAAGTCATAATGAAAAAACTTCTCATTATAAACACATAATAATTTGGGTCATGGAACAGCAAAGATAACTAGAGAAGAAAAATATTCAAAATTATTTTACCAGGGCACCACAGAAAATCTCCAATCCAGGAAAACATTCTTTTCTCTAAAGCTTTTAAAAGACTTTAATTTGCCCAAGACTTTATTTAGTAAACCTATGGGAGTAAGAACTATGGTTAAGTTTTGATTCCAGAGGAATGTACAAGAGAATTTCAGCCAGTTGGAAGATTTCTTAGATTTGATGTTTAAAAAAATGACCAAAATTCATTTAGTAACATAATAATAAAGTTGGGGACAGGACATTCTTTATATAAACTGTCTGATCTTATTTAATATAGGTAGGGATCTAAAACAAAGCAGAGGCATGCTAAAATTATCATCTGACTATTTGACGATTTCATCTTTGTATACTTTTGAAAGGTGTTATTAATTAGGTGGACCTAATTTCTTCTTGGGAGAGATTTGAGCCTCTTGGTTAAATGTTGCATAAGGGCAAATTTTTATTACCAGGATCCCATTATAAAAGTATGGAACTTATTTTTTAGTATGTTTCACAGTGTTTTGTACAACTGTGAAGTGCTAACATGGAAACTAACAGATACTGGGAATATTTGTGTCATGCATTTGGAAACTAACACTCCGAGTCACTGGCAAAAAATAAAAGTAGCTCTAATTGTACTTTTGCTCTTATTACAGCCCTACAAATCAGTAAATTACTAATAAATAGCAGTTAATAAGCTAGGAAGACCTTTTACTTACACATTTAACTGAAATAATCTGTGTGTTTTTTACTGATCTATCTTTGATTAAGCTATACAGAACTAAATGCCATTTCTGGGCTGGTTCTTGATATTTAGGAAAAATAACAAGTTAATAATCTAGTCTGTGGTCACTAGGGACAAGAACTAAAAAAAAGGCTAGTGTTCTAACTCCCATTACATTTAATTTAAATAAATACACCGTATCTTCTTCTGCCAAGTTGGTTAAAACCTCCTGAGAGCATAAATCTTTTCTGAGTATTTCCTGCAGTGCTAGCACCCATCACAGTGACTGGCAGTCACTGCTGAATTAACTGATTAATAAACAAACTGTAAACAGTAATCCTTCACATGCCTGCGCAGCTTCCACAGGATGGATGTAAACCAGTGTGTGCTCCGGACCATCGACGGAAGTGTAAGAGGCACCATCTGCCGTGTACACCACCTGCTGGGGCGGGCGAACCTGGTCATCAGTGTAGACAATCTGAGCCACAGTCCCAGCGTCAGGAACAAAGTGCACCTGGGGTAAAAAGCAGCAAGTATATAGCAACTACCCTTGCAGAAGAAAACCAGTCTCACAGAGACACATGACTGACTCTGCACAGCACACACTTGCACTTGTAAAGCATCAGCAATGAAAGGAGAATGGGAATTAACACAGCTTCACCCTAGCTGAGCTAGTGACCCAGAGATAGGCTCCACGGACTTTGTCACTGGTGTACTGCTTAATATTAGGAAACAAATATAAATTCCCCTTTGCCTCGAATGTCCAATGCAGGTATTTCTTTTGGGGAGAAATGAGGGACTGGTTAACTGATCTTGGAAACATGACTAAAGATTCCTGATTGACAACATTACCAAAATACTAATTATTTTGTAATGTGAAAAAAGATGTCAAGACTTATAAGCCAATTGCTCTCAACACATCATAAAAATCCTACTTTATAATCAATAGTACCTTTCAGCAGACACATTTCTTTCCTACAAGTTCTTTCATACTCTAAGGCTGTACTGGAGTAAATGTTAGCTAAATCAATGAATGTACCAGAATTCTTCCTTGTCAATTAGGTAAAGATACAGTACTTGTAAGGGGTTTGGATGACTATTTCAGTTGTCACCAGGGTAAATAATTTTCTCTCTCTAAGAACTAAAGCAGGAATTGAATTTTGTAAAATGCTTTCTCAGGAGTCAGTTTTGGAGGTTTGAATTCCTGAAGGCTGGAGCCTGGCACACTGCCTGATGCCTGATACTGAAGGTAAGGAAGCAGATGGCTAACGTACACATTTGGGAGAGAAATAATTTATGTGCTGATACCGAAGTTAGACACTCTTAGGTTGGAATCCTTACTCCTGTACCACCTTGGCTTTGTAACTAACTGTTTTTACTTCCGTTTTCTCCAGTGAAGAATGGTAGATCCCAAAGATGACATAAACTAGTCTAAACCCCAGAAAGAAATCTGATGAGCAAATGCAATCAAGCACCACAGAAATTAAACCAACTTCTGATTCTACATTCAGTGATTTATCCAGCTTCTATACAAATTTGACTTGTCTATAAGGATAATTTTTATATTGAAAGCATTAGGCTTATAACATATTTGTGCAGTTTTAAGTGCTACAGAAATTTTGTGACTTTGATGTGTTCTTGAAGATCAAAACCTTAGACTAGTTTCAATGCTTCAAAAAGGGAAAAAAAGTTTCCTCAGAAGAAGAGTTATCCAAGCTTTACAACTTGGTCTTCATCCCTAAGTGTACTGCTAAACCAGAATTCCTGGCTGGGAGAAGGGAGAGTTGGAAAGGGGGGGTGCAGGAGGGGTGCTGAGCTCTGCTGTCTACTGTCTGTTACCTACAAATGGGGACCTTTTTTTAATGGACTACATTTTTGTTTATAAATTAAATATGTAAAAATATATATATAGCTACATGAAAGTAGCCTTCAAAACTGTCTCCGTGAGAAACAAAACAGCGTTCTCCATTATTCTGCAAGAAGCATCTCTGGAAATTTTTTTCTAAGTATTCAGACTCAAGTTTTTTAAATCATACCATGTGATGGATTTTATTTACTGTAACATTTATTTTATTGCTTAAATTAAATACAATGTGCACATTTAAATGTTTCAATGTTAATTCCATGATTTTGATAATAATACTATGGCTATACAATTTCATGAAAAACTAAATTAACATTGTGTATTTACTAGAATGCTTAAAAATTGAATTTCACACTTTGATCACAAATAAAATGTGGCTCCATGTGACTGCTGATTCTTCTCACAGTTCAAATCCAAACCAAAAATATAGAGATTTGCCTTTGTTAAGAAGAGTCAAAGGAACTACTGCAGAATCAGTGTAGCTCGTTATGGTTGCAAAACAAAAGACAAGAATCATCAATTGCAGCAGCATTTGAGTAAGTGACTAACCTCCAGAGCTGCTGACTCAGTGGAACAACTTTCAATTAGAGGTTTACATTCTGAATTTGAAAGACAAGAAAAAGCCATTCACTGTACAGACATACCTTGCACTTCATTACAGATGAAGAATCAAAACCCTATACTGGATAACATAAAAGAAACACACTACAATTCGAGGCGTTCAGCACCAATAACTAATAAAATAAAACAGAGTATTGAAACAGATTATGAAGTAAGTTGGAGAAACAGCAGATAAGCCTATGGGGGGGAGCTGGCTCTTCTGAATCACAGCAAACCACACTAGCTTGGTAGAGCGTTCAAAGTGCTGAAACACCCTGTTCCTACATACAAGTCCTGCTCCTTCTCAGCTACTCATTACCATACGGAGGCCGCTGTGTCTTTAGTGTCCACCAAACTGTACCCAACTAGAAAACCGCCATTCATACCAAGCCAGAAAGACCACTGTTCACCTGTGTAGCACTCTCTTCATGCTCTGCAGATGTAGGCCACACGTGTGAGCTGTCGTCTTTGGAGTCCATCCTTTCCCTCCTGGACAGCTCCACGTCCTGGGCACCTAGAGCAGCACAGGGTGGAGAGTCATCTGTTTATCACGAGTGTGCTCATGAAAGGAAAAGGGACCTCTCTGCCATGGGCCTGAGGAAAGAGAGGAAAAGAACTGAGACTTTAAATGGATGGATACATTTTAATAAATTACAGTTTCAACCATGGAAAGACAAAAAGCTTTGTAAATGATAACACACCTGGGCAAAAAGATAAAAAAGGAGAAATTACTTGTAATAATGATATAATGCATTGCATGCTTGAAATGTTGTAGGCACTCCTTAAGCTAAGTGTAACCCTCATTGCAACTACTAGAAGTAGTTGTCTTCCTTCTCCCAGTGAGGGATGAAGTTCCCAGATGTCAAACGCAGGTACATTATGGATTCTCATGCAATCCTAACTGCAACTCAGTCCAGTGCAGCTCTCTCCTGCACACTTGCTTAGACACTGACTTCCAACACCACCTACTCCAAATGAACAGCAGAATAATAAAAGTCACAAAAAGAGGAAAAAATGGCAGGCAGAGGGGGCTGAATTTTCTGGGCCTCAATTTGGTGAAGACAAATTTAAGCTTGTTTCCTATTTGATCAAACAGTGATTTGTGAACAAATCAGAAAGCCTTACTAAACATTAAAGTGCACAAAATCTACATCTTGAAACCTTAGTCTTTTCCAAAATTGGCATTTTAAGGAAATCTATCTTCCCTTTTGATGATGATAAAATGGTGACGTGAGATCTGTCATTTAATAAGGCACCTGGGCAGACATGCCTGATAATGCCTCCTCCCACCGTCCCACTGAAGCAGCATATACAGACAGCAAAGGTAAAACTGCTCAGAACCCCATTAAACTAAAGGTAAGAAAGACGACTGACCAAGACCCAGCCAAATTTTTCTCCTTTATTAATGGAAATAAGCTGAGAGGCATACTCTTAGAGAACTCCAACATCTGAACTAGAATTAAGACCCAAAGAAGAAAGAAAGAAAAGATACTGGAACATCCAGTGTCAGGGCATTACTCTGGACATGGGAGCTGCCTTATCCAATCTGCGGGGGAGCCTCTTCTGAGCCTGGGGGAGCTATGCCTGCTTCACCCTCAATGCTACCAAACTCACCCACCTGAAACCATCGTGCCACCCACACACTCACCTGGCATACACCCTGCTCTTCTTCTCTCCATCAAAGGGTGCTGGAAACAACTCCCATGTACACCAATAGGTGAATGTATAAACAAAGGGTCATGGGGGAACTTTCTGGAGGAATGGAGATGGTCTCTATCATGTATCCAAACTGGAGTGGCTGTAACACGGGGAATACATCTGCCCAAAGTCATCAAGCTATTCAATTAAAATATTTCATCATGTGTAAATTATACCCAAATAAAGTTGATTTAAAAAAAAATACCATCCTTACACAACAGTACTATTTCAGCATGTATAAAACGATATTCAGGGTGAATTGAATAGTATGTGACATACCTCAAAAAACAAAGCTGTGATGTTTTTTAAAAAGGAACAAATATATTAAGAAACCCAGGAGTAAATGTCACCAAAAAATATAAAGATCTATATGCAGAAAACCATAAAACTGTACCAAAAGACATAAGAGGCTCAGTATTACAAAATCACAATATGTTCCATATAGAATCATTTTTGTTTTTTTTCTATTTTAAAATAATTTCAGACAGAAAAGCTGAAATATGCACAAAGAATTACCCTGTCTTCACTATGATTCCCCAAATGTTGACATTGTCCCATGTTGACTATTATTCTTTCTCCCTTTCTCTTTCTCTTTCTTTTTTCACCTGAGCTATTTGAAAGCAAGTTACAGAAACAATGCCCCTTTAGTACTAAATTCTCAAGTGTCCATTTCATAAAAATGGGACGTTTTCTCACATAACCACAATACTACTATCAAAATCAGGAAGTTGACATTGAAACAGTATTATTATCTAATTATCAGACTGTATTCAAATTTAACCAATTGTCTAAACACCTCATTTTCTGGCCCCGGATGCACTCTGGTTTCGCACACAGGGCACTCAGTTGTCATGTCCCGTCGCCCCCACCACCTCCTCAGCCCAGATCTGGGACCATCTCCCTAGTCTTTCTCACTCTTCCATGACCTTGACATTTTTTTTAAATGCACAGGCCATTTACTTCCCAAAATGTTCCTCAATTTAAGTTTGTCTTATATTTCTTCATGGTTAGATTCAGGATATGTATTTTTAGCAGGAATACCACAAAAGAGATGTTGTGTCCTTCCTGTGTAAGAATTTGAGACTTCTTTTTTCAACTTGGTTCACTGTGCAAATACTTAAGAGCATACTCTGCTGGGTACTGGGATGTGGTAAGGATCAAGGCAGGCCCATTCCAGGGACTCTGGAACCATACAGGGCCCAGAGTGCCCTTTGGTATTTGTTTGCATTTCTAGATAGGTGCATATTATTTCTTTTCTTTTATTTACATCTTTTTTTTATTTATAAGTAGTAAATTCAGTTGGCTCAAAACTCAAAAGGCATAAAAAGGTATATAGGAGACAATCTCCCTACCTGGAATCCCTGAGCCACACTTCAGAAGCAACCTATATTACCAATTTCTTGTCTACTCTTCCACATATGTTATGCATATACAAGCAAAAATACAAATACTCTCTGCCTCTCCAACCACAAATAGCAGACAATTGGCTCTATACAAAGTAGCATATCTTCTAAATCTTGTCTATTACACATGATACCATACCTTTTACATTGTTCCATATCCATATATCACTTCCTCATTCTTTCTCACAGCTGCAGCTTTTCATTGTGTGAATATATCATAATGTATTTAATCTCATGTTAATAAGTCTTATGGTTATCAACAAACTTTGCTATTTTTCAAGCTTTTGCTATTACAAGCAATGCTGTAATGAATAACTTTGGTCATACATTCTTTTATATGTGCTTTTTTCTTGAATTCTTTTGAAGTCTGTGAGGGAAGATGGTGATTCAGTTAGTGGCTATATGACTCTTAGGTCATTATGAGTTTCTGAACTCCAACACTGGCACCATCTCCCTGTGCCTAGTGTGAGGCACTGGGGACACAGGCAACTGCTCTGATCAGTGAACAGGTAGCACTTGGTACAAAAGGCACAGTGGTTAAGGGCTTGGGCTCTGGACCTGGATTTGGGTAGTAATTCTGAAACTTAACTGACCTTGGCAAAATAGAGGTTCTCCAAATTCCTCCTCCTTCTCTGTAAAATGGAGATCATAAGGCTATTGAGAGAATGACACAAAACAGTACATGTGAAGTGCTTAGCACAATGCCTGTTACATAATAAGCCCTCACATATTAGCTTTAAAAAAAAGGTTTTCAATCACATTGCATTTTCCTAATTGTCTGCCTCCACATCTCAACTCAAAGTACCTTCACATAGAAGAACGTCTCTGTTCATGAGAGTAACTCTAGATCCGGCACATGGCAGGTACTTGGTAATCTGTGGTTTAAAACTACTGGTGTACAGTGGGAAAAGAGAAGAGGACATCTAATCCCAACAGGGCATTTAGGGAGGACTTCTCTGAGATGATGAAGCTGGCAGGACGAACAGAAACAAGTAAGCAGAAACAGGAAGGGACAAGACATTTATTCCAGACTGAAATATATTTTTTTTAATTTTATCAAAAGAAGGAAGTAGACATTACATGACATAAAATGCCAGTAAACTACATAAAACAAGGATAAAATGGGGGTGGGCGGGAGGAAATAACTACTTAGCAGATATGGAGCAAAATAATTCAACAATTCACCCTTCACATAGGAAACTCCGCCAGGAAAATTTAGCAATAAAGATGTGTGAAATACTGCCCACAGAGGCAGTTGCCAATCATTTTCAAATACTGTTAGCAAATAAAGAAGCCCAAGATGGCAAAAACTCCAATTTAAAAAGTATCTGGCTGGAATCCAGAACAGTAATACAGATGCCCAGTTAGTTGTTCTTGTTTTTTAAGATACAGTTCTAAGACCTTTCGAGCATCGGTAGCTACACAACTATTTAAAACACGAGTGTGACATCCTGAATTTACTGTTTAATAGATTGCTCAAGAAAACTGAATTTTAGGAGTGACTCCACTTCTCTGCAAGTCACTTTTTATCACCTATCATCAGCATCTCCATCTGTAAAATGAGAGTACAAAATGATTCCTAAAGTCTATCTTAGCCTCAAGCTTAGCTAGGAGGCAGCGGGGTATAGCAGAAAATCCACAAAATCTGAACTGAACCCCCTGGCTTCCAGAGTGGCTCAACTGCTCACTAGTTATATAACCTTGGCCAAATCACTTAAATTCTCTGTGCCTCAATATCATATGTAAAAGGGAGATAATAATTACCTCCTAGAGTTATTGTGAGGCTTACATGATATATGTAAAAATTCTAGGCACAAGATCTGGCATACAGTAGTGCTCAATATGCCATCTTTCCTATGTTACAGATGAGCTGTACAAGCTTCAGAATTTTCAAAACATTTCACATTTTTTCAAAACCTAGCAATTTGTCACATAAATACCCTGCATGAACTTTTTTTGGGAGAAAAGCTTGTCATGTTTGTTTTCCTTTTTTATTATTATTTGGTTTTCACTGCACAATTCCTAAAGCCCTATTGACCTTGACATACAGGAGACGGGTAGGAAGAATTCCCAGAGCTACTTTGGTGCTGTCCAGTGGGCAGTGCTGACAGACTCTGCCAGCTAGACGGAGACTTCTTCCACTTCCTTCCCTTTTGCCTCTCGTACAGACCTGGAAGAACCAGAGACCACAAACTGTACCCTGTCTAGAAAACGGTCCCCCACCTTCCCTGCTTTACCTATTCTCCAAAATGTTACAAACCATCATTATCAGGAAAAGAAGGACACACTTGCATTTCTATCCTCTCACTAAGGACTTTCTTCAACAAATATTTATTAAGTGCTTAGTATGTGCCAGGTACCATTCTAGGTCCTTAGAAAACATCAGTGTATCCAAAAAAATCCTTGCCTTCTT